AGGTAGAGCATCTGAGTGAGGCAGATGATAATTTGATTTTTACATCTCGTTGATTCACAAGGAAACTTCTTAAACATGTTTTTACTTCTTTGGCTACCAAGACAGCTGCAGTAGGCAGGAGTTAGCCATATTCAGACCATTTCTGAACACTCACCAGTCATGTTTCCTACACTCTAAAACACCTCTGAGAAAGGTATTTGCAGCTGGGCCAATGCCTGTAAAGTACTGTCATTAAAAAGAGCTTTCACCTTCTGCTCAGTTGTGTTCACCTCAGAACCCACTCTGGACAGAGGAGGGCCAGATGGGAAAAAGAACTGTTAATCCAAGATTCACTGGGCTGCTACAGGTACTTTTAAAGCAACTTGTAATTCAAGATTATTGCATTTGATTCAGGAGAAAATAGAATGAGTTTTTTGAGTTTTTTGAAAAGTTATTCCACATGGAATGGACATCCTCAATGATACAAATTCATTTCATCATCACCTGAAAACATTAACCATACTTTGCAATGGATTTTTTTCTAAGTTGACTAACCACTTTTGCATTGATATTGTTGGCACCAAGTGACTTGCACTAAGCTTCAATTCTGTCTTCAGCCCTTACTCAACTCTCCAAGTATTTCAAACCTGCATCTCTTTAAGACACAGAAAACCAATCTCCTAAGTACCACTTAGAAGTCAGCTATGAAAGACATCTGAACTGTCCTTTTAACTTGCACATATAGATGTAGGCATGCAAATGCAGACTTTTCTCTACTGTGCTGCTGCTGTGTTACAGTATTTGGTACTTGGTTTTCTCATTTAGTTCCTAAATTCTAGGATCCATTGGTTAACAGAAGTTGCAGAAATGAGAATTTTAGCAAGACTATCAGCCACTGAGTCAAGGATATTAGACACTTGATAGAGAGCTGAACACACTCCAAAGCTTAGCAAAAGACAAGATTCCACTTGGTTTGTAACCACCTTAGACCCAAGCCCAATATACTCACATGACTGGGTAGCTTGATGGATAGAGCTCCACACTGACTTCAGACCGATGTTTTAAACCAAGCAGGCCATGAAAAAGGTATCTGGAAGAATGACCACTGCCACCTCATTTGTTCATCTGCTGTTCACCTCAGTGAGCCTTGCAGAAGCCCAGAGTCAGTTTCTGTCATCTTCATCCAGTATTTCAATCACTTCTGTTGCTTTTGCACGTTTCCTTTCTGCCTTTGATTTTTTCTTACTGTGGACTGTGCTGCTTATAATGAAAGAGCTGTTTTCCTGAGAAAACGGAAGGTAGAAGTAATCACAAGTCTAGTTTTGATTTACTTAAAATGTATGATTTCAGCAGTAAATTTGCACTTTACAAGCTCTTCAGAGAACTGCAGAATTCCTATGCATTCCAGCATTGTATCAAAGGGCAGAGTGTGGACTCACAAAACAACCTCCTTCTGCAGTACAGATTGGGATTCACAAGGATCATACAGTCGGACCTAGTCTCAACAACTCAGTACTGAAAACATCATCTATAAATTCTTTAACAAGAACAGAGAAAGGTTAGAGAGTTTCTGAAGTTAAGGAGTATTTACTTACCACTACTCTGGCATCACAATATTCTTCATTATCAGAATTCAAGCTGTCCTCATCATCCCTGAAACAAGAAACTCAAATCAAAAGCTCTGTACCGTTACAGTAGCTTAAAATGTGTAAACTATTTCCTGGTTTCCCTCAATGTGTATGCAAGTGCTACAGCTTGTTGATATAAGATACTTCTACATAAGGTTGTTCTCAAATGATAATTTCTGACAGCAGAATTGCATCTTAACTAACATTGGCAGGACAGCAGCAATGCTTAGCTGCAAAACAGAGATTTAGTAGCAGCCATCAACAGTAGCCCTGAGATGTTTTGGATTACACTGCCTAACAGGCTAGAATTGGAAAGGGAGCAGAAGAGGACAAGCCTCAGCTAACAGGAGTACACAGCTTTCTTCCTGATATTGTAACTAAGAAGTATCTCCACACACTGCCATGAAACACCAGCATGAACTTAATTCCCCTATCATCCACAGGTTCCTCTCAAGATAGAAAGGACTCTCTAAAAAGAGATGAAACCATTTTAATACTGAGGTTTCAAAAACTGGCAGGGTAGGACTAAAAAACTAAAGTTTTCTAGTACTCATTTCATATGAATAATCGAGTGTCTGGATGAGCTGACTTACATTTACTCTACAGAACTTTGCTTCTTGGGCTCTTGTAAGAAAGCAAAATAACTATTGTTACCCATTCTATGGGCTCACCTCAATGCTTTGCTTTGACTCACACAGATTAGTGGTCTAAGTGATTGCTGAAGTGAACAATAGCTGAAAGACAACTTTGCACCTTTACACTGTCTTTTAGGCTTCCTATTTTTAAGGCACTGACACACCAGTAAATGTTCTTGCTTATTTACTGATCACTTTTTATTGCATGAAGTTAACTGCTTGACCATAAAGATCTAAGATGACACTTCAGGATGTAATAATGTCAAAAGGAAATGAAAAATTGCCCTTTAGTTCCTGCTATAAAGCACTCCACTTTAATTGGGGTAACTATAGAGGAATTAATTTCATGAACTACTTCTTTTTATTTCTACCACATCATTTTAATCAGACAGTTCAAATCACCACTTGAACAATGACCAGTCTCCTGATCAGATCAAAAATATTTCCTTCTGTGAGAACTTCCAAATCCCAAACACAGAATCTCAAGTGGTAGAGTGTTTTGTTCCCAAAATAAGCAATACTTTCATAGGTTAAAAGGACAAGGTAGGAACTGAATTTGATGCTACCACAAGCAACTGTACTACCTCCTGAATTCCTCAGCTGTGAAGAGTAGCAGATTGTACTGGTATGGCTGGAGTTAGCTTTCCTCACAGCACCCCTTGCCATGCTGTTCTGGATTTGTGACTGAAGTAGTGTGCATACCCTCCCCACCCCAGCAAACAGGTCGGGAATGACCAAGAGCTGGGGGGTGGTGTGAGGCTGCCATGCACATACCTGTACACACACAATTTGTATTTTAGTTAAGAACAAGAAATGAAGTTTTTGCACCATCTAAAAACACAAAGATGAACTTACTTTGTCTCCTGAATAGGGGAAATGGGTCCTTCATCATCTAAATACTTGTGCTTCCGTAGCACCACACATTCTTTTTCTAAGTCTTCACCAGCCTGAAGGGCTTTTAAAGCTTTTTTAAGATGTTCCTCAAATTTAAGCACTTCAATGTACTTAAAATATCCCTTAGCAGCTGCTCGCTGAGGAAAAAAAAAATCAGGTAAGATCTTAAAAATACCATTGTAAAGCATTTATATTATGAACTGAATCGTAAGGTTATATTGATACCCATATATATATTCTAGCTGTATAGGTCTCAAAAGGTACTGAACAGAGGCCATTAGTGTCCAGTTTAACAGATGTGAAACCTGTTTTATTCTAGCACATTAGGTAGAAGCACAACATAACCAATTTCAATTCACTATTTTTAGACTTAAAAATACCCTTATCCCACAGCACAGGGGACTTACCTCATAGCCAAGAACCATCTTTAAGGGAATATGTTTCTCCCCATAATGTTTTTCAACAAAAGGGAACTGAACACCTCTGTCTAGACGCCTCCTCTTTCGCTCTTGATGTGATGCTGTCAGTGGTGGCCTCCCCATGGGCATCTGTGTGCTCTCATACTTCTTCTTCTTCCGTGACCTAATAGTGTATCTCCGGTGTGCAGCTGCTTTAAACTTCCTCCCCCTGAAGTGATAGGCAAAAATGGCTTTCAAATTGAATTTTGACTTCTTCTGCTGCTGCATGGACATTTCCGATGACTTCACTGGACTTTGGGGGGAGGGAGAAGAATCTGAAGAGCTTTCACTGTCAGGCACTTCTTCAACAGACTCAGCTTGTTGCCTCGAAGACCGAGATCTCCTTTTTTGCTTTGAAGGTGCAGTGGAGCACTGGGGACGGCACTCACTGCCCCGAGCATCAGGGGCATCACTGAAGAAGAAAAAGGTATTTACGTTCAAAAGAATGTATGCTTCCATGACACTTGACAGGTTCTCCACATGAGAAATTCTAAAACAGAGATAAAAACTCACATTTCTGAATCACTGCTGATAAGTACAACCTCAGCTGAAGCAGCTGGTGATTTACACATACTATTAAGGCCAACTGAAGACTCCTCAGGAGCAGCATTCTTCTGCCTGGAGCACGAACACTTCACCTGTGTGTTTGTCTGTACCCTATATGGCTCCTTGTGCTGACTGCTTATCAGCTCCTGGGAACCAGGGTAATCAGATATAGAAGCCTGGGGTTCATCAGTGTCACTCATGTTTCAGTTTGTCCTAGAAACCAAGAGATTAGAGAAAACTATGTTTATCAGGTAACGAGCTTTCCACTATTCCACTCTTACTCTTACAAAAACTATCTTGAGCATAGACTTCCCTGTGAACCATTAGCAAACAGATTAACCTTCAGAGTAACAGTCAAGTTGCAGCCACTTGTCTCGAGATGTTCATAGCATAATTTAGATCAGGGAGGATTTTTACAACTCCTGCCTAAAGCAAGACTAACTTCAGACTTGCAATAGATTGTTCAGGAAATTGTAGAGACAAGTTCTGAATGCTTTAAATCTTTCCC